GAGAAATTTCATAGCAGTGAGAACAACTAAGAAGTGGAATGCTTAGAAGTTGCCTTTAGAAGTTATGGGTGCTCCATCGCTGGAGACTTTTAAGAAGAAACTGGACAACCACTTGACTGGAATGGTATAGGGCAGTGATGGCTAACCTTTTTGCCGTCGCGTGCCAAAAGTGGGGGGAGCATGGGGGGTCGCGGGTGCGGGTGCCCACATCCATAATTCAATGTGCCCCACCCTCCCGCGCATGCGCACATGACCCCCCACACAATTCCCCCTGCTTTTGGAACGTGATGGCATGGTGGGCCCGGTAGGCCCGTTTTCCCTCTCCCCAGGCTCCAGAGGCTTTCTAGGAGCCTGGGGAGGGCAAAAACAGCCTTCCCTATCCCCCCGGAGGCCTTCCGGAGGCTGGAAGCATCCAGTTTCCCAACTTCCGGTGGGACTGGAAGGCCTGAAAATCAGTTGGCCAGCACGTGCATTCGCACTGGAGTTGAGCTAGGGCAACATTGGCGTGCCCACCAATATGGCTCCGCATGCCACCTGTGGCATGCGTGCCATAGGTTCGCCATCGCGGGTATAGGGTCTTCTGCTTGAGCAGCGGGTTGGATTAGAAGACGTCCAAGGTCCTTCCAACTCTGTTATTCTGAAGGAGACAAAGTTGGTCCAATTGTCAAACTCTGACCGGAACTAATACCATGCATGGATATGCATGCACATGTGTTGATGGTTTTGATGAGTGAAACTTCTGCTTTACCAGGCAGAACCTCCCTCCTTACTGTGATTCAGGCACAAATTGGCCTGGCAGAATATCTCTAGTTTCACTAAGCAGAACCTCCTCCTAGACATTAAGTGCTGGAATGCCTGATCTGCGGGGGAGGATTTTGTGTAATAAGGCAGTTGCTTGATCATTGCTGTTGGTGTTGCTTCCCAGGAGAGCAGAAGAGTGGAGGTTTTTTGCTTTACCAGGAAGTGCCCACTCACCACATGGATAAGTCTGAGGAGTGCTGACATATGTTTGGTAGCCTTCCAAAAGGTCACTGGACACTTTTCAAAAACATCCCTCCCCTTCTCCTGCCATGCATTTTAATAAGGGGGAGAAAGCAGCTCCTTGGCTTCCAGTTTTTCCCTTCCATTATATTTGCCATCTCTCCAAGCCCTAGCAGGATTGGCAGGTGAGGTGGAGAAAGATAGCTTTTTTTAAAAAAACAGAGCTCAGTTTGAGACAATTGGACATTCTCACTTCCAAAAGCAGAATAGCTATGGAAAATAGATCCCAGGGACTAGAGAATAGAGGTATGTCTGCAGAAGCCTCAGGTAGCCCATGGGAGCAAGAAAAACCCAGCTTTTAATCACTTTATCACCAGCATAATTGTGAGTACTTCCGGCTTAGGAAGATGGAAAATATACTTATAAACTGAATCAGCTAAATTGGAATGTATGCTGCTTTTATAGTGAGCTGGGAATTAGATAAAGACACTATTTGGATGGTGCAACCTACAAAAATGGCTAGTCATCATTGTGCCACAGTAAGGAGGATGTAAGGAAGAAGCCAGAGATGTCCTTCATATGTTGTTGGATCTACAACCCCTACAATCCCCTATCAGCATATCCAATGGTCATATGTACAGAGAACTCTGGGAATTGTTGCTCCAGGACGCTTGGTTGTATCAGTTTTGGAAAGGCTGCACTAACTCAATAAAATAATTGTCATAAGCCTTTGTGGATGAAATATTTCTTCACCAGAGACAAAACAGACCAAGAGTAGCATTAGAAATCTTCTAGGCTGCAGCTCTTTATCATTCCTCAGCTAGCTTGACTGGTGGTCAGACTGGCTCATCCCCCATCCCCCTTAGGAAAGGCTGTTCTATGCTGTTCTAAGATGATGTAGGAGTATTGTTGTTGCTGCTACTGCAGTTAACTTTTTAGATTAATCCTACCCTCTTAATTGTTTTAGCTTACATAGATAAGATCAGAACATTATACCTTTCAACAGATCCCATTTGATGAAGCCATTTATTTTAAAGAAGCTTTGTCCAGCTTCAGAACTGGATGTACACTTTATCCAGGGTAAATCTGAAGAGAAATGTCTACTTTTCCCCCCCACCTGTAAGTAGAAGAGGCTATGTTGTTAGAACAGCCAACTGGCTAGTCTTCACATCTGAAAAGGCAGGATGCTAAAGGATCATGTGAAACATTTGTTGGAAACTAAACTAGAGTCACTATGAAACTTCTTAAATAGAAGTATTAGGTTAGTATCTCCACTTGGAGATCATGCTCTATAGCTATGTTAAACTGAAGGCATTCTATCCCACAGTATATTTTCTAACTGCTGCTCTTTGTACTTCCATCCCATAAACCTAAATCCCACACATTTATGTTGAATTTATTGAGGTGGCTGCTGAGCCAGCAAGAAGAGGAGATAGGCACTACTCTTCTTTCAAGTTGGTACTTGTGCACTGCCTGGCTGAACCAGGAGATAAACTCTTCATTTTCTCCCTTTTGGCTA